AAAATTTCGACTCGGGTGCAGCGACTCTGCGCGCGAGCTTCTCTCTCTCTCTCTCTCTCTCTGTCGTATGAATCGTGGCAAATTTTATATTTATGGTGTAGATTACGTTATTGCAAAAAAGAGAGATATAAAAGAGTTTCAATTTGCGAGTCCGTTTGGTTGGGGTTTGATATATTCGCAGAGTTTCACGACGGCTGCTTCGACGGAAGTGCACACGCGTACACAAGAAGCGGAAACGCGGAAGATCGACGTCGTTCGGTTCTCATCGTTACGGTTCCGCGAGCGAACAAACGACGACGATGATACGACGACGATTCCCGTAATACGGCTCTCGTTAGCAGGAATAGGTATAGAGGTCGATATATCACCGGATTAGCTTCGAAACGTCGGGAGATATGGGTTAAAGGACCGAGCGCCTTCCTCACATGGCATATCCCCCCTTCCCGCGAGGGCTTCGTCTACAATAAATTACTTTAATCTCCACGTTGTAACGATAATAGGTGTAACTCGTAATTATATAATCTTATATACCGAGTAAACGCTACGATACAAAGCTAAAATCAATAGATATCACCAAATAGTCAATCCTCGCTGTCCTCGGTTATCGTTTTTAACAGTGTTATGATTACTATTATTATTATTATTATTGTTATATTTATCGTTAGTTATTATTATATATTATCGAGGGACGCGACGGTGCGTCCAAGTTTCTACACCCCCAGGGTGACACCGTCGGATGCCTTTCTTCCCATAGTGTGCCGAGAGAATCGCGCGGAAAACCTATAAGAGACGTGTGTGGCTTGCGTTCTCCCTTCGTTATCAGAAAATATAGAAAAATAAAAATAATCGTTCTTAGCAAGGTGTACCCACAACACCGACATTCAATATATTTCTGCGATTAATGAATCGACCAATTGCAATGAGATTTACGTGTGAATGCGCACACATTGCTCGGAACTTGACGAAGAGTTTGGAACAAAGCGAGAAGCAGGACTTCCACCGATCACCCTGGGTGTCGACCGGACGCTGCCGTATACTCTCGTTATACCGTCGCCAGAACTCGATTGCATGTATAACTTCTCTCTCTTTTCCTCTCTTCCTTTTTCTCTCCCTTTCTCTCTCCCTTTCTCTCTCTCTCCCTCTGTTGATCTCGTATTTATCTAGAAAACCGAACTGAAGATTGCATCAATTACGAATGTAATCGCACGGAGCGACGATCAACCAACAAACGGCGGGCGCAGAGAATCGTAATTGCCGAAAGGACTCCGACTGATGTGTGTATTTACAGAGAGCCGACTTTGCGCGACCGCCGACGGGCAAGAAAGAGAGAATCCCGGAGAAACGTGTGTTCGGGCCCTTTCTTGAACAGTCCAACCCGGATTGATCCTGCCAAGTGGCGAAGTGTTTCCCGCGAATCGCGCGTTCGCTCTGCGCACGGAAAGAAATTGCTCTTAAATCAGGAATAGATATTCTCATATACACCGAGAGAAAGATTTCAGATTTCATCAATTTTATTGCACCGATCTCTCCGTCCTCCGTTTCGCGCCTTCGGCGTTCTTCTCCGTCACGCGATCGGACATTTCCCGCACGGACATTCCTTGAGGACATCCGAGGAGTTCATCCCCGGCGCGGGTTCCGCTCCTTCGATCGATCCAAGTTCGGCGATTGCGGATCGAACGAATCGTTAACGCAACGTCAAGATGAATAGGCCCGTTCCGCGACTCACGACTTAATTAAGAACGATAACAGTATCTGCAGATATAACTCGTGAGATATAATGTGTGTATATATATATATATATATGCATGTATGCGCGCGTAATAGTATGTATATTGCGTTAGTGTCGACTACAGTGCTGCGAATATTCTGCGTAGCTTCGTGCGTCGCGCGCGCGAGACGGCCGGGCGAAGTAGAAAAGTCACCACCGTGCGCGGCCGTGAGGCGTCGCACGCGACGTACAGATCTACTCTTCGTCGGGAATTGGTCGAGCATGTTTTCCCAAGTAGAACAGAAAATGACGTCANGGGGGGGGGGGGGAGGGACAAAAATGATCGGAAGGTGAAGGTCTTTACTTTAGTCGTTCTCTCAACGTCATTCTGGACGTTGTCGTGATTTCCTGTTCTGCCTGGATCTCGCCGATCGAAGCATGTCGCGTTTGTCTACGTGAACTACGGAGAGTAAGCTCGGTGGAACGATTATAGTCAATAGTCAACGGATGTTCCTGCGAGGACCTTTTCAAGGGACGACTCCGAGTCTGCGTTCAGGTCCGTTGGAGCTCGCGCTTGGTCTCGACAATTCTCCTCGTACGCGACGAGACTTAATTATATGTGGAAACGACGGATAAAACGATAGAATGAATTATGCGTATTTTAATATGCTTCGTATGCGCTGGTTATGAATCTTTGAACGTTGAATGTTTTAAACAACAGTATTCACGGCAACTTTAAATTTTTAACATTTGTACGCAAATTGAGACAAATCTTATATTTGAAATAATAAATAGCAAATAATCTATAAATAACACTTTTAGTGGAAAGTTCAGAACTTATCAAATAATGACGTTCATTTAAATAATATATTTAAATGAATGTGCAAATAATTTGTTATTTGTATTATTCGTTATTCGAGTTATTTGTTATTCACTATTTGTTACATTATATTTGTCTTGTTTCTTCTCCGTTTATTTTATAGATATAACAGATAAATAATAAGTGGTTTTATAAAAAAATTGTTTGTTTTAATATATTATTGGAATGATAAAATATAACGATTGTATAATATGAGTAAATAATAATATAATAATACAATGAATAATAATATATAACAAGATAATGAAATGAGTTCGTACATATATATACACACACAAATAATAAATGAAAAATAATAAATGACGAATAACAAATAACGCAAATTATTTCTATATTCATTTCAAATAAAATATTTAAATAATATCATTTTATCGTCATTATTCGACGACTTCTGAATAGAAATGTTATATACAGAGATTTATCTACTATTCGTATTATTTCAAATAAAATTCAAACAAAATTTGCCCAAGTCTACGTACAAGTTAAAAAAAAACGAATAATTACAAATCCGGATGTGATGAATATGGATAACGCGAATAATAAACATAAATAACATTTTTAATCTGAATAACTCACTAAATAAAATAAAATGATGTTGAACGCGTGAAAAAACGCAATGTTCTAGTTTCCACGGGAAAATGCGAAAAAAAAAATCTTCGCCGACGGGCGCGAGAGGCCCGGACGATAAATCCGGCGCGCGCGGATACGGATCTGCTCGCGTGGTCACGTTGCCGTATATCACTCTCGAACTCGCGGAATGAGATTTCATTGCAGCCATGGCGCGTAATCTAAGGGAGCCTAATTATTATTATTATACACACTAAGGATACCGTGGGACTCAAGCTTCGCCCCCCTTTTGTGGGCGTAAATACAGACGCATGCCGTTTCAGCCGTTGTTCCCTGATCGATACGGAAACGTCCAACGTCCCTGAGCGGCGCTTATGCACGTTCGGAGCCACGCTTTGACCTTTCGAGTGCAATGAGAGGGTTCAGTGCGCGATCTCGATTCTACGAGGTGACTTCTTAAAGCGAAGCGATGGATCGTGAGATAATGCGCGATATATGAACGATGGCCAGCACCAGTGTCGATTGAAGGGCCCGGTGGCAAAAAAAGAAAAAAGAAAAAAATTCGGTGCGAGTGACAACAGCACGGAACTGCGCGACGAGCCGCTCGTACTGTGACCGAGCGTGCGCGCGGTCTAACTCTTTCCGAGAGAACAATTTTGTCAAAACCGTCATTCCGGAGAAACGGCGGATTCGGCGAATGATTCCGAGTTCACAGTCTGAACATCCCGGACTTTCTATCGATTGGTCTACTTCCTTATTTGATCAAAAATGGCGGAACTGAGGATTGTTAAATAAAAGGATTCGATAACCAAATATTATTTTAAGATGAAAAATGAATGATAATAAAATAGTGGAAAAGTAAATTTTTGAGAGATTGAAGCATATATATATGCAAATAGTATTGTATATATAATAAAATAAATCATGCATGTCGATAAAAGTGTATCTGAATTCGACATATCGTAGACACCCTTCATAGGCAGAGACATTCTGGCGGCAAACGTCAGACATCATTTTTTATCAAAAAGTCGGTCGATGTCTAGACTCAAACTTGAGAGATTCTAATTCAAATTTCAGTATATAGCGCGGTATAACTCGTCACTCGCTTTCACACCGGAACCCCTCGATTCGCAAACCGCGAATTTTGGAATCTATCTTGCGGGTTTGACATTGTACACATTGTGTTAATCTCGTCTTGCACACAAACACAGCTGCCGACACGCGCGCGCGCGCGCGCACTATCGCTGCTATTTTTCTCCCCCGGGTAGAATTATGCCGCTACAATATTTTTCCTTTATCCGGACGCGATACAACCGAAATCGTTGCACGGGGTGTTACCTGACAGGTAGGTGAGGTGCCTTCCTCTGTCTCTATTTTTAAGGATAACCCTTATTATCCAGGAAGCATCCCGCCTAACGATGCATTTAGAAAATTTGTCATTTAATCCGCGCTAATCGGCCGAAACCAAGATGGAAGCGTCTATCTAAATGACGATAATAATAGCTTTTTCTCATGGATGTGGATATTTTTCTTCTGCGAATCTCCAATGCTCCCGTCTCTGTTCGATATCTCGACAGAGACGCGTTACTTGAAATCATTCTCAACGTTACATCTACAGAGAGAAGTATATTAGATATATGCACGTATGTATATACAAGACACTACACTTCACATGAGAACATATTATTTGTAATGTTAAATCCTTCATGGTTGGTATTTATCGTTTAGTTAATCATAGATTATTAGTATCTATTAATTATGTGTTTGTTTTTTTTTTCGCTTTAGATTTTTCATTCGTTCCCTTTCGCCTCTCCCCCCTCCCCCTCTAATTTTTTATATCCCTCTATCTCTCCTCCCCTCCCCTCACTCTCTCCTCCAACCCCTTTTCTCCCGATCGATTATCCTGAAAAGAGAGAACTGCTTACAGGATAACCCTCAATATCGCAAACCTTTTTTCCGTATCGTCGACTAAAAGAGCGAACCAAGACGGGAACTGCTTAACGTCACTTCAGCAGAATATCTCAGAATTACTGATCTTAAATTTAACGATCCGCCGAAAGTCTCGTCTCTGAATTTCGAAACATATCGGCGCTTTCGACTGGTTCAACATCTGTGCGAACATCCGACCGACCTTCGGATTGGGCGAGGAATCCGTTTGTTAAGAGTAAGATCGGATGTTCCGAGACATGCTGCATACTTCGACTCGCACACGTGAATCCCTCTGACACCGAACATACCTTAACCCGTTAATATTCTTAGTCTTTCTTATCCCCGTCTTCGGGATCCTTCAACGTGTGCCACTGGGCGATCGGGCGCCTAGGAGACGCCAACATATCGCTCCAATGTCGAAGTTCCGTGCCGCTTGCGTTCTGTCCCAGCACGACCTTTCCAATCGGTTCTGATGTGCCGATACGATCGTAGTCTACTACAGTGACGACGAGTTGCACTTTCTGAAAGAAGAAGCTACGTGAAATCCAGAATGCTGAAGATACCATTATCGTCGTAACATTAATTGCCTGCCTAATGTCTGGAAGTTAAGGCACTCTGTTATAGATCGAATTATATCAGCATCATTTGACTTCGTTGTATCGCGTATTGCGATCGTTTCTTAATTACAGAATCGAGCGTTCGTATTTCTGTTCGCGTGTCATATTCACCGAATAGATTCCGAAAGTGGACCGTAACGTCTGACCTTTCTGTATATTTATATTTTATAAACATAAAAACATATCACGCGCTTGGCTCTTATTTGCCTCTGTTCCTTTGTGCGTTCTAATTGCTTTATCGATCTCACTGGAAAATATTTGAATTTATCCATCGCTTGTGTGTAAAGTCTGAGTTGAAGTGCTGCGAACGTTCTTGTTATCGTAACGAGCACTCGGATTTATCCCTCTTCTCGGTAGTTTACTTTGGAATTTTTATCGTTCTAACTTCCGAGCTTTTTATTTAGAGCGCCAATTTAGCTATGAAATTTCGCAGCGTGTGTTCCCCCGTCAATTTATTCCTCGACGATTGACTCTACCATTTGCAAAAGCTCGAACAATTGAATATCCTTTACGTACCTGTATCTGCTCGAAGGGTACCTCGAAGGTGAATGATTCGTTGTAGTACGGATTGAGAGTGCACTTCTTGATCGACGTCTTCTTCTTTTTCAGCCTCTTGCCGTTTTGCATCAAGGCGATCTTGACGTAAGGGTCCGAGAGACCACCGACGTCCATCTTCTTCAAGTTCTTGGCTTCCAGAATGACCACCGTGAGCTTGCCGGCCGTCGGCACGTATCTCAGCGAGAAACAAATGTCACCCAGCTTGTTGTCCTGCAATCGACAAGGATGCCGTTTACGACGTGTGCTTAAGCACGCGCATGAATCGTATCGATTTCAACGTCGATTCAACTCTCCAATCAGACGCCGGCTTCAGTCCCGGCGATGAAAACTGCGGTTCATCGATCCGACGTACTCTACCGGGTTGGTGCAAAAGTTCGTTCCGCTCTTTTTCAATCAGTCCTTCGCTCAGTAATGTCAGAATTTCCACGGGATTTTACAGCTACCGGAGAGACGGCAGTTCGTCGGACAAAACGGCGTTCAATTATTTAGTGAATTAATTTAAAAATAAATAAATGTACGTACATTTGGCTTAGAAACGGAATGAACTTCTGCCAACCAACCAACCTAATATTTGTATTTCAATGTCACCGTCATCATCATGTAGACTCGATTGTCTTTCCATGAAACGGGCTCACCTGTCCACCCTCCCCTTCGACGCTCTGCAATTCCCGCCATTCCTCGATCGTCTGCGCCAGATCGACCTGGCAGAGCGGCACTTTAACCTCACCGATCTGATCGTGTTTCGAGAATCTGTCGAAGTCGAAGATGGCGAAGACCAGAGTTTTGTTCATGGCATCGGCGTAAGGGACGCTCTGTGTTTATCAGTGACAATACGTACGGTATTAGATGATATAGTAAAGTATTAGATGTTCTGATATGAGGAAATCGATAAATTGCGATTTCCGCAGGACGTGGCGTTGCCCTACTGACCTTAAACGTGAACGTTTCGTTGAAGACCGGGCTCAACGTCTTCCTGTGAACCTTCGTTTCGAACTTCTTCTTCTTGTCCGGCAGCAGATACACTTTCACATAGGGATCCGACGTGCCGCCCATGTCCAATGCTGGCAATTCTTCCGCCTGTATCACCGTTACGGCGAGACTGTTCGAGTTGAAGTCGTATTCGAGCTGCGATCAAACGTGTCCTCGTTAATACTTAGAACGCCCGGCTACATACAGATTCAGAATACAAAACTCGAGTCGAAATTTCGGTCCCACATTAAGTCGACTTAGTTTTGCGTTAAGTCTTCAAGCGGAGAAAACTTGACGTCGCTGTACAGTTAACCTAGTAAAGGTGAGGTTTAGAAGGCAACGCAGATGCGAGGATACGTTACCTTGTATTGCAGTTTGCCGAGCTTAACTTCGCTCTGCTTACTTTCGGCCTCGTCCGGCTCCTCGGCATTGTCCGTCAACTCCTCCATATCCGGCTGGACCTTCGCATACCGAAGTGGATTCCACGAGTGTAGAATGTATCTCTAGCATCTACATGAAGTCACGGAACACCGAATACATACCTTGTCCTTGTACGTGCTGCCGAGCAGCTGCACGGACTTGAGGTCCACCGCGCCCTTCAGGCCCTTCTTGCCGTCTTTGGTGCGTCTTTTGCGACAGCATCTTCGTATACAGCAGAAGCAGATGCCGAGGACAATTATGCCTACCCCTGTGCGGCACAATGAAACACGCGAACGCGCATTATAATTAAGTATCGAAGCAATGGATTCTCCTCATAGATACACACACATCTTCGTGTATTCGTCGTGGTCTACTCGAAGAAGGATCACGCATCGTTAAGTGGTGGAAATATTCGAGCCGACGGAAAAAGTTCGTCCCGCTTTCTGATCAATTTTCAAGCTTAGAAATCCTGGATTTTCGCGATCACGCGTGCGAGAGACTGCAGGCTACCAAAACAAAACGGCGCGTTCTTGATTGATTGACTACAATTTTGAAAATCAATAAACACACGCGCATTTTGGACGGAGAATAGAAAGGAAACCAACTTTTGCGTCGACCTAATGTATTTAATAATAAATGTAACAAGTACGAATTAATATAGCAAGGAACGAGCAAAATTTGTTCAAGCACCACGTTCAGTCTATTGAAAAACAGCCCAGTAAACAACAGCTAAATGTTATAATTTCTCATTTAACGATGCAACTGTTATAAACGCATTATATTGCATTTATATTATTTAATGAATAATTATAATTTTGATGTTGCGTTACTGTTAGCTGTTTACTGGGAATTGTGTAGTACTGCTGTAATGAGTTATTAATTGATTCAACGGCTTAATCAGCATCCAAGCAATGTATCGTTGCACCAGTGCGTAATTTGTTCAGCCGACATAACATCTTTTTGAATGAGGACGATCCTCGATTTCGTCGACCCAATCGCTTTTTTTTTTTCTTAGTTTGTTTATGCGACATTGAATGACCGCGAGGGAACGTCCTTGCTATATTTAAAGTCATTTCGTGGAACGACCTCCCAAGTGGTGGATAATAAGGATCGATTATTCTCAATTGATTAGGATCAGACTCGTCGTAGCAAGGTCGCATCGTTACCTATTAAAATAGCCACCAGACCCCACGGTGGTATTCCTACTTCTTCCGCAAAGTCCTTCCCGATCTTCTCAAGTTTAGTCTCGATGGAGTTCGCCGCGCTCTCGGTAGTAGGTTCTTCCGTTACTGAAATCAACGGATTAACGCTCGGGTTAACGCTTTGTTGCAGAAGACGATCGTGAAACTTAATTAACCCAGTTACTTCCGAAAATCATGCTTAGTCGGACGCTTTCGTACATTCACCGGAAAAAGTTAGGTGTCAAAATTCAAAAAACTCATATTCTCCGTATATAAGCAAGAATGTGCAATCTTATATAAAGATGAAACTCGCTCTTATATGAAGGAAATTTTACGAATTCTTATAGTTCCTTTAGAAATATATTTTCCTTTAGAAATATATTTACTCAGGAACAATTTTCATGAATTGAGCACCATCGGTGTTACTCACCGTCTTTTTCTCCCTCTGTGCTGAACGTGTTGGGCGAAGTGCCGACGACTTCATCCTGCATCTCGCTCACATCTCTCTTGACTAACGGCGGCATTTTCTACATCAGAAGAGCATCGCAGTCGTGAGCACGCACTTGGCTAAGTAAATTCGTCCGTTGCACGCGACCGAGCTTTCCTCGAACGCCTCTCCTTTCGTCCGACGACCCCGCTCGTGATTTTCGGTGCACCTCGAGTCCGGTTTTGATTTTCCGCATAATAACGCGACAAGGCTCGAATTAATCAACGACGCTATCGAGACTAATTAGACGCGCCACGAGCGCGATATAGAGTCGAGGATATACATCACGACGCATGCGACCGACATTGGCTACTGCCATGGAGATTCCGTAATCTACGAGAGAGAGAGGGAGAGAGAACGTTTCCGCGCGCGTGACGCGCCAAGCCGCATGCGTATCGCAAAAAGCTGAGCTTGACGACGGAGCGATTATTAACGGGCACGCAGCACGACACGTTTCCACGGCCGTTCGCCGTCACAGACATGTAAACGAGACTCATTTATCTAACCCTGTCGCCGTGAGAGAGAATCAAAACTAGTAGTAGTAGCGCGGAATAGCGGAGCCATTCATGAACGGCAATCGTGCATGACGTAACGGGGGAGCTTTTACGCTGCTGAGCGGCAGCAGTCTCAAAGGAAGCAGAGAGAAGCAAGAAATAAAAAAGGGTCGCTCGACGAGGTACGTGGATCGTTGTGGCATCCCTTTTTATACGTTATGTCGGATCTTCCGTTAATTTCCATTGTAAGGCTCCCCCCGCCTACGATCCGGCAATATTGCGCGTAATTCCGTTGCCGCAAGGCCGTCGGCCGTCTGTTGTTCAAACGTCGCCGCGCCTTGATCCTCAACGCTGGCTACAACGACAGAAAACAATGTCCGCAGAAAGGTTGCCGAGGCAGGGCTGAAAAGATATGGCGGTGTATATGTATATATGTATATATATATATAACATATACATTTTATATATATATGTATGTGTATATGTATGTGTATATAAAAACGTAATACGCCGTGCGCGAAGGCGGCGGCGTCGGCAACGGCGACGATGTATTATCGAGCCGCGCGCGTGGGAGTTTGTGCGCGCCAATCCATAACTGAACGAGAAGCGAAAGAAATAAACGAAGGATGAGGCGGGAAGCTATGGCGAGGAGGGTCCGCTTTTCGTTCATGGGGAGCCGAGAGAAGCAAGACAAATCGTCGCGAGACCCCGCGATTGGGGACGCAACGAGAATAGAGCGGCAACAGTGGCGGCTCGCCAGTGGTCGGGTGCTAATATTACAGATAGAAAAGCATCAATATGAATTCAAGACTTATATTCTCGTATCATAAACAAGAATATATAATCTTATATGAAAATAGAACTTGTTTACATGAAGAAATTCTATACGGTTCCACTAAAAATATCATATTCTTGTTATCGAGGAATAATTTTCCTTAATTGAGGGGAAAAAGTATTGGATAAAACGATATCTTCCAACTAAGAATTGTATCAGTTTGAAAATATCATTTCTTCTATCCAATATTTTTCCTTCCATTTTATGAAAATTATTTTTGAACGGTAAAAATATATTTTTATACGAAGAAAAAAATATTAGTCAAATTAACATGATAATAAATGAACGAAACGCGGCTTTGTTTGAAGAAAATCGAATTTTCGGTTATAAAAACCGAATTTAATTGATAAAAACTAGAGATTCTGTTTCTTGAATTATATACAAAATTTCTTCATGTTCATCAAACAAATTCTATTTTCATGCAAGATTATATTTTCTTTATAACTCCAAAAGCTCGGGAAAAATTGTTCTTCTGAATTTTTTTGCAAATTTCTCCGATTTCTATCCCAAAGATGGAAAAATTCTTTAGAAAAATTCATACATATTCGGTTAAAACCTGCCTTCCTTTTTCCGTAAAGAAAAAAAGAGATCAAAATATCCGCGGAATAATTGAAAAAAAAACAATTTTTCCGAGCTTTTAAAACTATAATACTTTTATTTATACACAAGAATATGAATCTCGAATCGATACCAAATTTTTTCCGTGTAACTATTTTTATCATTATCAATTATAGGTGACCACAACAGGTAACGGCGAGAAGTATATTAAATTTCAACAGTGAAACAGTGTATCGAAATCCCATAATTTTTCGTTGAAAATCTCCGACAGCTTTCACGCGAAACGCGGATTGATTCATTTCGGTGGGTGCAAATAGGCGCGAATTTTAGCCAAGCGCTACCTTTAATTAGCAAGTACAGCGCGAGTATAGCGATAACGTAGTCAACAACAATTGATCGATCGATCTCGGGACGATTTAATTATCTTTTCAAAAGCGGCGGTAACACGTTGTCGAACGTTGCGTAATCATCGTAGCGCGCGGAAAATCGCATCGACGGTCTAACGGACGGGAGCGATCGGGGCGCAAAACGGGGTCGAAGCGCGCGAAGAATCGTCGTGCTGAAACGACTATTTGAGAAAAATGACACTCGCCCTTATGTAACCTCCCACCCCATTGTAATCCCGGCTGGCCTACGGCCATTGCGATAACTCCGCTTCTTCCAGTCATATACCGCTCTCGCACTTCTCCGTCTATCGGCCGGCTATCGTTCCTTTCCCTCCGATCGAGCATTTCTTGCTCTCCTGCAACCTTGCGAGGCGCGTTGTCTATATTGTGTTACGTCCCCGGTATCGGGGTTTATTTTAACATATTCTCTTCCGAAGTGTCATCGCGAAGAATTGCGCAAGACGTCACACCGTCGACCGTACGCTTGGATCCCGCTGGGATCAGAAATGTCGGCGGATGGCGATGACGTATATACCCGTCGACGATCCCAGCGATATCTTAGGTTTAACAGTTCTTTTTTTTTCCGATCACCCTTGTGATCCTCGGGATTACGCGGTAGGTGCGATGATACGCCGGGGGCATTTTCGTAGGTTGATGTTTGCGCGCCTCTTATGTGCGTGATTGAGTGCGCGCGTGTATGAAACGCACGCGGCGAGCATGTGCGCGTGTGTGCGTGCGAGATCGATAGGGATAACTTCCAATAGGATTACTTATCGTAGACCACCTTGCGCGTGTGTCTATGTGTGTGTGTGCGCGCGAGGCTCTCGCAAGATGCTGCCAGCGACGTCTCTCTTTGTCACGATAAAATCGAAACTGCATCTCCTCACAAACGTACACGGAAAAGAAAAATTAGCATCAATTCAAGACTCGTGTTCTCGTGTATGTAAGCAAAAATATATAATCTTACATATAAGAGAAGTATATAATAAAACTTGTATGTAATTTAGTATAATTCCGAAAAATACTCGGTATAATCACTAAAAATTTCATATTCTTGTTATTCAAGAATAATTTTCATGAGTGAAAAAGATTGGATAGGAAGAACGATATCTCCAAAAATTGCATCAGTTTCGAATATATTATTCTTTCTATCCGATATTTTTTTCCTCTCAACTCGTGAAGATTATTCTTGAATAACAATAATATGTTTTTAACGAAATTATATAGAATTTCTTTATGTAAGCAAGTTTTATCATCACCTAAGATTCATTATTCTTGCTGATATATGAGAATATGAGTCTCGAATTGATATACAGAAAAGATAGTCTTAAATCAATGATATTCTCATGTATATGCAAAAATGTTACAATAATCTTAGAAGATTATAATACTCTTGCTTATGTATGAGAATATCTATCATTGATTCAAGATTAATTTTTTTCTATGTACTAATTTTTTTCCCGTGTATTTTTCTCCGAGTAAACTTTGATTTAATAGTGTGGATGTTGTCCGAAGAAAGCATCGTTACAAAAAACCGGGAGAAAGACATGAACAATGTTAAAAGATACATATAAATAATTTATCGCATCGATTTACGTAAAATCGTGAGTTCTTGATAAATTCATAACTAAAACCATATAACCTCGCATAACCTCGCTGACTATCGGAGGCTAGATTTACGTCATCCCGGTTTATCGAGAAGAATTTCCATCACCGCGTAATGACTATCTCTCTATCTCGCCTGCATTCACGAGAGTGCCTTGCGTAATCGTATTAAAAATTACTTGGAGTTCAAAGGATTAATTTAGCGCATATCGTGAATACTCATCGTTTGACTCTGGCGCTCCGCAAAGAGGCAAAATTATCTCCGTTACTTATATTTCATAATTAAAGTTCTTTCTCAAACGAAATATCGAATTTATCATCGTGCAAAAGTTTATCATCACCGATAACGCGTATTCTTCGCTTTATACTTGTAGAAAAATGCACACATATTTACTCTCTATTATCTTTTCACTACAGAAGGTCTCTTTGCGAAACCGAGCTTGAACGGCGCGTTTCCTCCGATGAAATCCGCTCTTTGATCAAAATAATCGAAGATCCTCTCGCTCATCCCGTTTATAAACTGGCTGGCCTCTCTCATCAGGCGTGGTTAAAGCCCGTTCGATTCCTATGATTAGGTCAGCCAGCCTTGCTGCGCGTTAATTGGGATATCTAGACGTGTTTAAACGATCGTGGATGTACGATACGCGCGTACGTGTGTAAATGTACCTCTCCCTTCCACCGACAACCAATGTGTAATAATTGAGATGCAGGATCGGTTTGACGTGGGAGGAAGATTCTTCGTGTACGTTGGAAGTCCGACGCGACGTCGGCGCGTGCGTCATCGCGCTGTTAAACATATTACCGTTCCAAAATTAAAGAATCGCACTTAACAACCGTGCTCGGCTCTTGTTTGCCTATTCTAATCTCTGTATAAATATTGACGGAAGAAGACGTGCAGATTTTCAGTTGTCTCCTGGCGACCACGTCATCGGCGGCATATGTTGGGTGATACGCGGCGCGGCGCGATGGAAAGTTCGCATTGTTTTATCGAATGTCGCGCGTCACCTCTCCGAAATGACCGATTCAATTGATACGAAAGTTTCCGCGGCATGCGGAAGTTACTTTCTCTCCCTCTCGTCTTCGCTGCGTCAACGTCAATACACGAGTGAGTTTTCCGCGAGTTGCCAACGTGGCGATTACGCAGCTGTGACGCCACTCGTCACGCATTCTGGCGGATCCGCTCGTGAGCGAGTGTTGGGGGAAAAAAATGCGCGCATTTATTGCACTCAGCGACGTATAATTTCGCGGCCGACCGCGAGCGTATGTCGCGGTTTCCCGGTGCCGACGTTGCAAACGCCGGCGACGAGTTCACGCGCGCGCCACCGGGCTTTACGGCAGAGATCTGTCTTCTATCTTCTTTCTTTGTTTATTCAAGTGAGCCGGCCGATGGTTCATGCCGATCCAAATGCCTCTTCGGAGAAAGAGAGAGAGAGAGAGAGAGAGAAACGCGGTGACGAAGTGGTACTTGCAGAAGCACTATTCCTAACGGTGTGTAGC